GCTGTGGAAATGTGGAACGGTAATCGGCAGCCAAAATTTATCGGGGGGGGCGGGAGGGATTTGTAGAATGACCTATTCCCCTCAAAAAAAAATAGACCTGCCACCCTCCCAAAACCAGCCCGGGGCAATAGAGCGGGGGCTGCTCAGTGTCCCATCTCCCCACCAAGCTCTTTCCCCTCTTTTTCATTTCCCCACTCAGGACTGCAGAGGGCCCCTCGGCACTTGCGGTTATCGAGAGCCTGGCCCCACGCTGCAGCTTTTCAGTGGAATCTGGGCTCCGGGCAGGTTTTTGTGAATCTGGCGCTGGATGTCAACTGATCCTGACCAGCCCTTGGTCCTGAACGTCACCTCATCCTGAGCATCACCTGGGCCTGGGTGTCAGAGGTGAGGCTGCGGGTACCGGCCAGGAGGGGATGGGGGGCTGCGCGGCCGCATTTCGGGTTTGCTGTTTTACTGGGCAGGCCGAAATCTCTCGGTCCCCTTTCCTGCTGGCACCCACCTGTGAAGCAGTCACACCGGGCTGCTGCTGTCAAACAGCTTGACAGAAGTGCCTGAGAAGTGACAAAGAGGGTTATTTTTATCAGCAGAGGTGGCGTTTTTCTCACGCATCCCCCTTTGCGTGCGCTGCTCGGTGATGTCCCCCGGGACGCTGAAGAAGAAGGTCCCGCCGAGCCAAACGGGAATAAACACGGTGCTGCAGGGATTTCTGTGCTTGCTGTCACACTCGGGATGCGTCGCCTTCCTGCTGAGCGTCTGTCTCCTGCCTCCCACCTCCAGAAGCTGCTCTGGCTTTGGCTGGGTTGTCTGCGGGTGGGCAGACAACTGTGTGTCGCTGGCACAGCCTCTCATCACGTCCGCTCGGGGCACGTAGGATGGAGCGAAGCCGGGTGCTGGCGATGCCCCCGAAAGAAAAACCAGACTTCTTCTAAAAAAAGGGATGTTGGTATTGGTGGGAATAAAAAAAAGTGAGAGCGGAGTGTATGTGGTCTGGTAAAATGGCCGTAGCATTTACGTGGTCGGCTGGTGGTGGGTTAGACTTGCTGCTCCCCGGCTTAATTAAAGTGGGGCTGAAGAGGAGCTTTCCTAGGTTTGATGCCAACAGGGATTCCTGGCGGGTGCCGTCGCCGTCGCAGTCCCCATGCAGCAGGTCCTGCGGCGAGCGAACACCGCAGATCACATGTGGTTTAGCTGGAGCGTGGCCACGGAGGTATAGCTCATTATTACCTGCTCGTGTTCCCAGAGGACCCGTGAAGCCGAAAACCACAACCCTGTGGTGTTCAGAGATGGACGGAGAATAAAAAAAGCGTGTTTGCCCCTGCCGAGCGAAGCCAGCGGGTGATGGCTGGGTCTTCTCATGATAGGAGCCTTTAGATATTTACTGCGGCGTTAGGAGAATGCAGCAGTGCATTTGTCGTTCCAAGAGGGATTTTGTAATTGCCGCGTTTCCCTGTGAAAATTGGGATTTCTGTAGGTTGCATGAAAGCTCCGTGGTGGGGAATAGGCATTTTCCTGGCAGATCCCAAGGGAGTGGCGACGCGAAATCAGATCTCAGGCGCATGCAAGCTAAAGTGCATCAGTGCAGGGGCGAGGTGTACGGCAGCGCATCCCAAGCGGCCGTACCGGCAGCGAGACGGGGCGGTACGGAGCATCCCGAGTGCCGGTGCTGGGGATAGAGCGAGGAGAGGAGCGTGCCCCCTCCTTCCCTCCGGCAGCTTTTCTACAGCCTCGAGATTTACGTCTCAGCCGTGGGGCTCACGTGTGGTTTTACACGTTGTAACATTACAGCCGTTGTCGCGTCTGTTGTCAAGTCTCATTTTTCAGGAGTTAAACTTCACATCACCTAAGGTTTCTGCTGGACTGAGGGAGCCCAGCACCGACTGCAAGGGAAAAACCTTCCCAGGGAAAAAAACATCATTTATTTCCTCATGGTTATAGGCGTGCAAAACCAAAGTGCTTGATTAGATTAAGCTGCAATTTTTGGGCTCCTATAACATGAAACCTTGTTTTCCAGCATACAGCGTTGCATGAGGTTAGCCTGTAATTCCCGTCGGCATTTCCTTTAATTTAAAACACTGAAGTTAGTCACTTTTGCGATCTGCCTGTGCGCATGTGTGGTGGCTTTGGGGGTGTTTCGTAGCAGCTCTGGCTGGATGCTGTGGGGAAGGTCGAGGGGTCCTGGCGCTGCAAAGGCTTCACTTTAAAGGTGCATTGGTCACAGCAAAGTAGCGAATCCTATTTGCTTGGGTGAAGGAAAATTAATTCTGCATGAATAGGGTGAAATGGGAAAGGTTCTCATCCATTTCCCACGTTGGTCACCCCAAAAACTAGTGCCTTGGGGTTGTTCGTTGCTCCCACCTGGCTCTTCGGCATCGTCTCCAGCCAACAGGTTCCTAAAGCAGCTTGTGCGGGTGAGCAGCGATGCTGCGCTCGGAGGGGCCGAGGCAGCCCCGAAAGCTCCCCTGGCTGCCGAGCAGGGAAACGGAGCCGC